GCTGTCAACACTGATTCCTAAAAGGCTGAAAATTAACCATACTTTATTACCACTTTTCTATAGCTGCAGACCACTGGGAATTATAAAGAAAATGTATCCATTCCACTTGCATTTTTCTTCATCTCCAACAGTGCATCCCATATTCTTGTCCATGGCTTTTTTGTTATACCTTGTTGTTTTTGATGAAAAAGCACACAGTATCGATCTCCAAGACAGAGCAGGTACCAGGGTCAAGTTCTAGAGTACTGATTAAAGGTGTTTCCAGAGAGAGGGCTCCTACAACTACCAATCAAAGGCAGTGTGCAGCTTTTCCATCTTTCCCTCCTTATTCCATCTTTCCCACAGAGGTGGTGGGGAGACACAGGAGGAGGGCTGTTGTCTAGACTGTCTGTAAAATTAAATGAGTGAGGCAGGGAGATCGCACTCATCTGGAACCAACCGATAAAGTTCCAAAAAACGAACTTAATCTGCGGCATGCCTCATGGCTAACTAAGCTGTCATTCTTCCAGACAATCTATGCCCTGCATAGGCTGGCCTTTGTCATAGCCCCACTGGAGAGCTTGCCTTTCCATGTGATGACACAAGTGCAGGGCCAGGTTCAATACCATTCCAGGAGTGGAGCCTTAACTCTTCCCCCATCCTATTTCTGTACCAGGCCACTCAAGAGGTATGCTAGCTCCAAAAGGCAAGCTTCACCTGAAATTGTTATTGAGGCAGCAATCACCACCCTCCTTTTGTCCTTCATCACTTCATAACACAAACAGTATTGGCATGACCCTCCATGCTACAATTTATGATCTATCAAGCCAAGTAAAGCTCTTCTCTCAGTATGGGACAAGCTGAGCACTGCAGTCCCAGGCCAGAATTTAGGGTTGCTGTCCCAAGTCTAGCCCATGTGAGATTGAACCTGGGTGCATTTTTGCTTCTTGTCCCATGGTGCACCCCTGCAATGACACTTGCAATAGTTTGCTGGCTACTGATTCTTTTCCGTTCTGGCAAAACAACCAGAATTCAATGTGAGCATATGGAGCCTTCCTTTCTCAGCACGTAAGTACTAACAAGGAGTAGATACTTCCGCTGAGGCTATCACACCTTCCCAGCTCCATGCAGAGGTCCTCAAACTACTGATGGAAGTTGCTGATGTGTGGAAGAGCTGGAAAATGGGGTTCAGAACATGCAGGTAGGGGAAACAGGATGAATATTACAGGGGAAAGGCTGACTGCACCAATCCTGTAATCTCTGTGTTGCTGTGTCATCTTCTAACATCCTTGTGGTCTTTAGGCAGAAAACTTAAACAGGTTTGCATGAATAAGCGGGTATGATTATTCTAAAGCATCATGAATGCCTGATGCTGCATGATGAACTGCAGAGCACCCCAGAAAAGATGCCTACACTCTGGGAGTGATCCCTGGTTTTGCTAAATACAGGTATATATAACTTCAACTGCAGATGGGCTTTTGCCTACTCAGATAAACAGAATTCAAATCTCCAACTTTGCTGCAGTAGTCTCCATTTCCATTCTTCTCCCTTTAGTATCTCCTATTCTGATTGAAATTTAACTGTTGCAGTTGAATTGGAGGAAGGAGGCTCTTTTTCCTACCTTCATTTCACTATGAAGTTCCATATACCTTGATAATGCTAGATAAACAAACAACAAAAACAACTTTTCTGCTTCTACTGCAACTTGCTCCGAAGACCACCTTATTTCTATGAGAGGAAGAACTGGGTACTAATCTGTACTTTTAGAACAAGTTACCATGGGAGCAATTTGAGTGCTCTTCCTTTCCTGGGGGCTTTCCAGAGATGTTAAAACTCCCTCTATACTGACTGAGGATGATGGGCATTACAGTCAAACCTACAGGGCATCTCCTAGAGGAAAGCTGAATTAGAAGTCCAAACCAGATATAGGAGGCCCACTGAGCTCTCATGGCCAGCATTGTGCCCCATGGATTATAGGGGATTATATCTAATATATGGATTATATCAGCATTGTGCCTGAGAGGTGAGGAAACAGCAAGTCTCCTGCTTCCCCACCCTGCTTGCACTTTCCCTTTGGCTCCATTATTCCAGGTGGGAGCAAATAAAATCAGCAACAGGGCCTAGTTCAGACACGGTCTGTACAACTGGTTTATACAACTGTAAGGCTGAGAAGAAAATGGCTGACTTGCTGAAACTGTTGATCAGGAAAGAAAACATCTCAGGTACTTGAAGACCTGTTTTCCTGTCTAGACCATATTTTCTTTCCCAGATAGGATATATATTATATCCTTAAAAAGTCCTTGGTTCTAATCCAAAACAGTGCTCCTTGGTCAAACTAAATCCAAGACTCCAAACATATTTTGCCAAAGAATTCACAATGTTCCTACTTTCTATATAATTCATGGTGTATGTCTGCTTCAGTGTGATCTTCTTTTCATTTCAGTTTGTTCTTTATTGTCTCAGTACTAATCTTTGTGAACTTCCTGTACATATTACTTCTGCCTCTCAGTATTGTGAAACTGGAGAAATTCTATTTTTACTTACATCTGAAAAATGCCAAATTTGAGCAATTTATAGCAGCATACTCTTCACTCAAAGCTTGCTAACAATTTTGCAATCTTAAGGAAAGGAAAAAGAATTCTTAAGCCAGTTCTGTAAAGGTCATAAACCATCAAAGTTAAAAGGAGTCCCTGAAGATTTTACTCGGCTTAGCCAGAGCCTAATAGGGGGTGGTGCTCATCTCCATTTCTAAGGCCATGAGCCAGCGCTGTCTGCAGATGATCTTGCAGTCATGTGGCCAGCATGACATCACAGAGGGCCGTTACCTTCCCACCAAGGTGGTACCTATTTATCTACTCGCATTACATGCTTTCAAACTGCTAGTTGGATAGGATCTAGGGGCAAATGACAGGAGCTCACTCCATCTGGCGGAGGCTGGGCTTGAACCTCTGGAGCACCAACCATTTCTGGCTGACAGTTCCGGCATCATTAAGCCACTGAACCACTGCTTCCCCTATAATCCATCAAACTACACTAAAAAAAATTAACAAATGAAGAATAGTTGGGTTTTTTTTTTTTTTTAAGTGAGAAAGGCTCTGGTAATTTGGGGATGAGGGAAGGGATGGTCAAGCTGAAAGGCATTTCAAGATATTTTTGGATGCTTAGTACATCTTTAATATGTAAGGCTCTGTAAGCAGCAGTCAAGCTAATTTGTATCTGGTCTGGAGAGATGAAGAAGAGGTTGGAATTTTTAGACTGGGTGATAGGTGAATGGATTTTATTTTCTCCCTAGCAGTTTTAGATCACATATAGGGCAGAGTTTATCCAAATACCTTTGAAAAATGAGGGACAGTGTCAGTTTATCTGGTGCAGATAGATCTTTAAGTTGGCAAGAAGAGTTGGTGCCCTCCCTGGAGAAGAACAAGAAAAAGAAAACTGAAAACCAGTTGGGAAGTTCTTGGCTGCTTGGGTATGACCTCTAGTGTCCTGATTTCCACAATAATAGTTGGCAATCAACTTTGCTAGGAACGGAAGGCAAGGATCAGATTTTGTTGTTATGTGCCATCAGGTCATCTTCATGACCCTACAATGAATGCCCTCCAGAATGCCCTGTCCTTCACAGTCCTGCTCAGCTCTTGTGAACTCAAAGCTGTGGCTTCCTTATATTTTGCTCTTCCTTGGCAGACTACACAGCACTGGCGCTACTGGTTTTGAACACTTTCTTTAACAGCACAGGTTTGATTTATTTTCTCCATATTCATTTTATATTTATTTGGATTACCAAATTCATCTTGACTTATGGGCCTTTTATAAAATGCTACAAGAGTGAGGGTATGTTAGAGCTGAGTCAAAATGCATCTTCCATGACTTTATAACCTATTTTTGCAGATGTGTGTGTGTGTGGGGGGGGCTTTTTGAACTTTTTTGGGGGGTGGGGTAAGGCAGAGAAACTTCCTGTGCTCTCCTGGAAGCCTCTGGCCACTATCTGTCCCTTCCCACCTCCTCCACAAAGCAAGGCCATTTGGTGAGATCACAGCATTACAAGAACACAGGACTGGGTGGAGAGCGGGAGGATAGATGGCAATCAACTGTCTGAGATGCCACAGCACGGGTAGTGGCAGTCAGAAAACAAGAAAAAGAAAAGCAAAGAAGATGGAAGTATATGTCACTCTGACCCTGGCTTTTCCCAACTCGAACTGAAAGCATTCATAACTTGTTCAGGCTGTTTTAAGTGGCTTGGAGAAAATTTAATTTAAGATTATTGCAGACAGAGTTTACATTTGTTATCAAAAAACGTAAGGCATGCTAGGACTATCCCTTGAGCCACGTGTTACTCCTCCATTTAAACCTGACCCACTTTGCTGTGGAGTGTCTCACAGCATCTGGATTACCGCTGCACCAGGAAGAAACTAGCGGGACACATTGATCGGGGACAATACAAAGGACAAGAGCAGACTACCCTGGCTCCTCATACTATTTCTATGAGAAAATAAACTGATGCAGACATACCCTAAATGTAATATTCACAAATGAAGGAAGGTTTTCCCATTTAATCAGCTGTTTCCTTTAGTCTGACCAGAGAGCAGCAAAGGCCTTTTCACAAATTGGGCATTTGGCCTTGCAGTCACACAAGGCAGCTACACCCTCCTGGTGTATTTGCTCAGAGTGATATAGGAGCTCATCACACTGTGGATTAATGACTCAATTTCTCACAACCTTGAATGGCCTGAAATGTAAGAGGAACTCATGGGAACCTCCACGTGCAAGGAGTGTCCCAGGTCAGAAGGAGGGCACACACATTTGGGGTGTTCATGCTTTACAGTGGCTCACGGGCAGCACTGGAAGAGGAATCATGATGAGGCAAAGGGGTGGTCGGGCCAAGTTGTCTGTGTGCTGAAAACTCTTAACAAGACCTATCATGCAGCAAGCTTCAGCAAGAGCCCTATCTAATAGGAGGGACTGCGCTTTCTGGAGAAAGAAACAGAAGGAAACAAGCACTGTGGCTCCCTAAAGAAACTTACGTGAAGGCAAATGCCACCAATGCGCCACTGACCACAATGAAATCCAAGATGTTCCACAGGTCCCGAAAATAAGAGCCCCGATGAAGGATCAGTCCTAAGTCAATCATCTGCAGAAACAACCAAAGCAAGAACAACTCAGGGGTGTTGAGGTGCTATACATAGCTTTAGCTACTGCACCCCACCCTCCAATCTCAATGACTGCTGCTGACTGTATTCTTCCCCAACAAAGTATGTCAGTCTTGCTGGGCCCACTTTACAAAGTAGGAGATGAAGGCAAAGAAAAGGAAACAGTAGCCCCAGTTATTAATGCGCAACACAGAAATTGCCATACAAAGGATATTTCACACTCCGTTCAGGGACTAAACACTGGGGTGCCAGCACATAATAGTCCAAAACAATGATTCCCCTCCCCACAGGTGTGCATATAACTTCCTCAGTCACAGTCTTCCTCCCCATGAGTGTAATGATGCTGGTGTTTGAGAAATAGCCCTGGGAGAGAGATGAGTCTGTCAGGGTAGAGATAGGACTTATAACTACTTCCACACTGTTCTGTGATACTGCAGATACTGAAGCCTGCACAAACAGCATCCGGGCAGTACTATAAAGGCATTCTTCAACAGCTGCTTTTCAGTTAAATAGCTCAGTATGACCATTTGGAAAAACACCCATTAGAGTCAGAGCTTTTTCAAATGCTACAGGAAAGGCAGATAGGCCCTACCATTTTCAATATGTTACCAATTCCTTTTCAGTAATGCTTGAAGAAATATGTATACAAAGTTCTTTTAGAAAAACATGCACCTCAAACCTGCATTAGTTTCTAGGATTAAAAACCAAGCGCCACAACTTATAGTCCAGAAAAGCCTTCACAGTCCAATCCAAACCATATACACTCAGAAGACATTGCCACTGATTTTTAGTGAGACTTGCTTCCCAGTGTAGCAGTAAACTGTGCTATAGCTTCATCTAGTGGACCTCAGTCTATACTACAAGCACAGCCAATGCACTTGAGAGATCAAGGGAGCACTGGCTACCATGAGCCCTGCTTTGTGACCCTCCTCCCACCTCCAGTCTTGCTGCTATGATGCCAAAAGCTTCCTTTAAAAGGGAAACCAGTGGTTTGCCACAGAAAAAACGAGCTCTTTCCAAGCAAAGCTGCAGCATCAACCAAAATCCAATTTTCCTTTGAAGAGGACTGTTCCCTCATTGCTGCTGCACTGCTGAATTTCAGTGACACAGTGGTGGTGGGATAAAGCAGGCCATGGTATGTTCCCCCGGGCTTCACGGAGGCAATATGAACCACCCACGATCAAGAAGTTGCCCACCCCTGGAGGGCTGTTATGAGGGAGGCAACTGGAAAACATTGCTCAGGGGTGTTAGGGAAAGGAGAAATATCCCTCCTTTGAGGGAGGCATGATAAGGACAAGGAGTAACCACTATGCTGGGTAACATATGAGACAACACTGACCAACATCCTTGTTTGGGTACTGTGAGTGGTCTTTCATTCAACTGATTTGTACAACTCAGCTTTCAGTCTAGATGCCACTCTATAGCACTCCGCTTACCAGATATTAGTTCCCAGGACTGGCCCAAGAAAATTTGCTGCCCAAGGCAGAGCAGCAAACCCTGTCCCTCAAAGGTACACCCGTGGTTGGTCAAATGATTCTGCCACCCGGGGCAGAATCCCTCCTCCCTGTCTCTCTCTCTATGGCAGTAAACAGACAGAAACGATAAAATCTAGCACAGTCGTTAATGATTTATTTCCTTTTATGATGCCCAAAAAATAGCTGCCTCTGAGCCACCTCACTTTTCCTAATGGCAGGGCTGCCCTTGCCCAAGTGGAAGGAAGACTGTCGCACAATTAGCAGTAGCCCCACAGGTGGTGGTAAGATGCACATGCAATACCTTAGCCAGTGAGTGCGGAGTATGGCAACTACTGCCTCTTTACCACAAAAATCTCTTTGGAGAAATAGTGTCTTGCTTTCTTTCATATGTTCACATATGCCAGTGGCCCCAGAGAAACAAGCTAGCCTGTTTGCAATTCCTGTAATGTTCTGTGGAGCCACTCCTTACACACTTGATATCAAGTGACTACCACACTGCCATGATAAAATGTTAGTTAGGCTGCAGGTGTCCACAAGTGTCTTCACATATGTGCCTGCACCTTCCTAAATAGGTGGCTCAAAAGGCAAATTAGGATCCAAGGACCACAGACAAGCCCGCAGTTGAGGGCAGGCAGGCATGTGGCGAGAGGTGAGGCAGTAATACCATGGCGGAAGGGCCCAGAAGCCTGACAGGGCTAAGTCAGACAGCGGTCACAATCCAAGGGAGCAGGAGCGCCACACAGGACCTGCACGTTCATGGAAAGATCTCAGACTGAGCAGCAAGGTCAAGGCTTTACAGGGCTTGATGAAATGTATTGCTCTAGGGTCAGCTGACAACGTAAACAGCTATTGCAGTCTACATTATGTGGCATCACTGTTACACTGCATTTATATCCCGCCTTTTTTCTTTCCTGAGGGGGCTTACACAGCTCTGTGTTATCCTCCCAACAAGGTCCTTTTGTGAGGTGGGCTAGGCTGAGAGTGAATGACTGACCCAAAGTCACCCAGTGAGCTTCATGGCCTAGTGGGGACTAGAAACCAGATCTTCTGAGTCCCAGTCCTGCACTCTCACCACCACACCACACCGGCTGTCATGGCACTCTCTGAACCAAGAGCAGTGTTTCCTAGGTCTGCTGATGAACCAACGTGCAGGTGCTCAGGAGTCAGTCAGCAGAGCTGGATGGCTTGAAGCCCTGGTTTGAGGCACCCACATTCTGGGCACATTACACATTCATAATTTTCCATGTACAGCTGTTGTTTTTCCTTTGGGTGGGTGGGGGGGGCAATGTTCACATGTGTTGTTTTGCCAGCAAAGTTAGTCATAATATAACTTTTATTTTTAATTATGCCAGTACAACTGGGTTAGCTGAGAAAGATCATCCCTGCCTTTTGGATTATAGCAAGAGAGAGGAGACAGTGGGTAGGATAGAGATGCCAAGAGAAAACATTTAAGAACTCATTCCTTCTTCCAGCAGAGCTTGCAGTGACAAATTATGTCTAGGACAACTGATCCTGACACTTCACCTCATTAATGGGAAATAAACACTTAGTTCTTTCTGTTGCCTATATGAATGACTGAATTCCAATGAATCATTGAACATTCAGATCTGGCTCATAGCAGTTCAGGCAACACACCATCCTCCCTCCCTCCCTCCCTCCCTCCCTCCCTCCCTCCCTCTGTGTGTGTGTGTGTGTGTGTGTGTGTGTAA